TTCCTTCCTTCCTTCCTTCCTTCCTTCCTTCCTTCCTTCCTTCCTTCCTTCCTTCCTTTCTTTCTTTCTTTCTTTCTTTCTTTCTCTTTCTTTCTCTTTCTCTTCCTTCCTTTCTCTCTCTCTCTCTCTCTCTCTCTCTCTCTCTCTCTCTCTTTTTTGCTTCTTTTTTTTGAGACAGGGTTTCTCTGTGTAGTTTTGGCACCTGTCTTGGATCTCACTTTGTAGACTAGGCTGTCCTCGAACTCACAGAGATCCACCTGGCTCTGCCTCCAGAGTGCTGGGAATAAAGGCGTGTGCCACCACCACCACTGCCCGGCTTTATCCAATTTTTATGTGTGCATGTCTGTACTGGTTGGTTTTATGTCAACTTGACACATGCTAGAGTCATCAGAGAGGAAGGAGCCTCGGTTGAAGAAATGCCTCCATGAGATCGAGCTGTGAGGCATTTTCTTAATTAGTGATCAATGGAGGAGGGCCCAGCCCATGGTGGGTGGTGCCATCCCTGGGCTGGTAGTCCTGGGTTCTATAAGAAAACAGCTTCAGCAAGTCATGGGGAGCAAGCCAGTAAGCAGCACCCCACCTCTCCATGGCCTCTGCATTAGCTCCTGCCTCCAGGTTCCTGCCCTGCTTGAGTTCCTGTCCTGACTTCCTTCAATGACGAACAGTGATGTGGAAGTATAAGCTGAATAAACCCTTTCCTCCCCAGCTTGCTTTTGGTCATGGTATTTCATCACAGCAATAGAAACCCTAACTAAGACAGTGTCTGTGTGTATCTGCACTCAAGTGTGGATGCCCATGGAGATGTCAGATTCTCTGGAACTGGAGTTACAGGCTGTTATGAGCCACTTGACGTGTGTGCTGGGAATTGAACTCAGATCCTTTGGAAGAGCCGTACATGTTCTTAATGGCTGAGTTGTCTCTCAGCCTATTATCTCTCTAGCCCTATTATTTTTGAGACAGGGTCTCTCACTGAACCTGGAGCTCACTGATTTGGATAGAGTAGCTGGCCAGTTTCAGGGATCTTCCCATCTCAACTTTCCCAGCACCAAGATGACAGGCATGTGAATCCACTCTTACCCTTCTACATGGGATTAGAGAAGATAAACATATCCAAGTGTAGGTATGGACTTCCCAGCGGAGAGTCGTGTCTTGGCTCCCTAATTCTTTACTGTGGAAGATTAGGTCCGTCCCAGTTCCGTATAATGATGTTTGAATATTTGTATGTGTATTTTTGCCCTTATCTGAATATTTCCCTGATACATATTTCTCTAAGTGGAATTCTCTGGTCAAAGTATGAAAACAGCTTTAAAAATACTTACATACGTTGCCAGATGATCCACCTAGTTACAGTCTCTCTAGGTAGAGGAGGCCTGCACACCTGTTTTGTTTGGAGGGGGCTTCAGATTGAACCTCTGTGCCTTGCACGTGCCCGGCAAGGCCTTAGCTATATCCCTAACCCTTCTTCAAACACTTGAGACAAGGTCTTGACTAAGTTGCTCAGGTTCACCTTGAACTTGTAATCCTCCTGTCTCGGCTTCTCTATTATACCACAGCATCCAACTTACTTTGAAAAATTATTAATTGTGGTAATAGTTTATGGAAATTCTTTTCTGGCTTTATTTGTGGAACTTTTTGTTTTTTTTTGTTTTTGTTTTTGTTTTTTGTTTTTTTGAGACAGGGTTTCTCTGTGTAGCTTTGTGCCTTTCCTGGTACTCACTTGGTAGCCCAGGCTAGCCTCGAACTCACAGAGATTCGCCTGCCTCTGCCTCCCGAGTGCTGGGATTAAAGGCGTGTGCCACCACCGCCCGGCAGTTTTTTTTTAAACAAAATTGTTTACCATGTTCCCTTTTCCTTCTTAAAAAAATGTCTTGGTTTGTTCTAGTTTTTTCAAGTTTCAAAAATATCCTGTTGGCACATTCTGATTAGAATTTTGTGCTATGAAAAAAAAATGATGAGGCACTGGGCACACCTTTAATCCCAGCGTTTGGGATGCAGAGGCAGGTGGATCTCTGTGAATTTGAGGCCAGCCTGGTCTACAGAGTGAGTTCCAGGACAGCCAGGGCTACACAGAAAAACCCTGTCTTGAAAAACCAAAAAAAAAAAAAAAAGGCAATGTCTACATATTTATAGTAGGTATTTTCATCTAAAAATACATGCTCATTTAAATAAAATCCTTTAATCATTTCAGTCAGATTTGCAGCTGTCTTTTTTTTCTTTTTTAAAGATTAAAAAAAAAATCATGTGTGTGTTTACCTACATGTAGATATGTGCAACATGTGCAGGGAGGGACAGAAGAGGGCATCGGGTTCCCTGGAGCTGGAGTTCCGATGGTTGTGAGCCACCATGTGGGTGCTGGGAACCGTACCTGGGTCCTCTGCAAGAACCGCCAGTGTTCTTAACCCCTGGGCCATCTCTCCAGCCCCATATGTACCTCTATACTTTAACTTGCTGGTGAGTTAGACGATTCGATTCCTCTAACTGAATTGTGGTCCCTCCTTGAGGTCAGGTGATCCGGTGTGTGCTTTCCTCCCAAGCTACAGGGGATTTAGACTCGCTGCGTATCTGTTCTTCTGGTTACACTTTATCCAGGTGAGCGGCCGTGGCCCTTTGAGCACACCTTACATGAGGCTGGAGGATGGTAGCCAGATGCATCAGGATGGACGGGTGAGTGGGGGTGGGGTGGGGGTGAGGGGATGGGACCGGGGCTGGGATTTGAAATTGGCCATCGTCGACTGACTGGCCACAGCACCCCAGTGTCTCCGTCGCTTACCCGTTCGGGTTTCTCTCCAGCTCGTGTAACAGCGTGTGGTCACAGTACTCGAAAACCAGGTGCATCTTTCTCTTTCTTCTGAACACCTCGATGAGGTTCACAAGGTTTGGGTGTTTCAACTGCTGCGGAAAGAATTGAAATGCACACTCGAGTGATTGCATGTTTCCACTCACAGCTGCCCCCCCAGACTCCCGTGACACCAGGAGAACAAGGTCCCTTTGATCATTCTATCTCTGGGCAGAAGTTTTTTGTTTTTGTTTTTTATATTGTGTGTGCTGGTGTATATGTATATTTGTGGGGTGCAGATATGTGTGTGCAACAGGTGTTCTCTTTAATTTCTCTCCCCTTTAACCTTTTTATTACTAATTAATTAGTTAATTAATTAACATATGCGTCTGGGTGCATGGGCGTGTACACACTCGTGGATGTGCAATGTCACATGCGTGGAGGGCAGATAACAGCTTGTGGGGACTGATGCTTTCTTCCTACCATGGAAGTCCCGGGGATTGAACTCAGGTCTTCAGACTTGGCAGCAAGCGTCTTCACCTGCTGAGCCATCTTGCATCCCCTCTCCCTTTAATTTTTGAGACAGGGTCTCTCACTGAGCTGTGTCAATTACCCTGACTCAGCTAGACTGGCTGCCCAGCAAGTCCTAGGTGTCCTCCTGCCTCTGCCTTCCCAGAACTGGGGTTACAGACACATGCCATGGAGCACAGCCTCGTACATGGGGGCTGGGATCTGAACTGGGGTCCTTAATGCTTGTACGGCAAGCACTTTACCGGCTAAGCGATCTCTCCAGCCTCTTATACAGAATTTTGTTACAGTGTTTCATAAGGTAAATTGCTCTCAGAGCCACAGGAACCTCAACATGGGATACATTTAAGATCTTGTAACAAGTCAATAATGATGGTAGCCAAACTGTTTAAAACTCTCTGGTGATAGCAAAGTGCAAACAATGCACTAACGTGAAACCACTGTGCAGTGTATGAAAACTAGGAGCACACAAGTCGTAACATAAATGAAGAATTGAAGAAAAAGAAATACCATGCAAAAGGCTATAACATAATCAGTGCCTACGTATCTTACACATTATCATGGACTAAAAAAAGTTTTATTTTCGTTTTAATTTTGTGTGTGTGTGTGTGTGTGTGTGTGTGTGTGTGTGTGTGTATACATGCATGTGAGTGCAGGTGCTCAAAGAGTCCAGAAGAGGGCACCAGATGCCCTGGAGCTAGAGCTACAGGCAGTTGTGGACCACTTGATGTGGATGTTGGGAAACAAGCTTGGGTCATCTGCAAAAGCAGTGTAAATTCTTAATCTGAGCCCATCTCTCCAGTCCCCCTTTACTATGAATGGAATGAAAATGTTTCTGGATTTGGATGCAGTCCGGTTTCTAGTGTTGGCTCTCAGCAATACCGGATCCTCGCACTTAAGTTTTTGGTACACTTCTCATCACAGGAGTCCCTCCAAGTTAATGCATTCAGGTATTCTTTTCATTGCATTCTGCTCTGCCGTTTGACTCTGCTGTTTGCCCTGATGTACATACAGAAGGTACATATGTTGAATTCTATTGCTACATGGAAATAGTTTAGAAAGCAGTCTTTGATATTTTCCTTTTTGTTTTTCTATACAATATAATGTTATATACATGCCTTTTTAAAAAAGTGTTTTTTATGTGATGAGTGTTTTGCCTGTATGTATATACGTGCACTACTTGTTTGCCTGGTACCCAAAGAGGCCAGAAGGCATCAGATCACCTGGAACTCGGGTTACAGATGGCTGTGGAACTAAACCCACATCCCCTGTAAGAGCAGTCAGTGCTCTGAGCTGCTGAGACATCTCTCCAGCCCTTTGGTCAATAGTTTAAACCAAAATTAAAATGCTGATCAAGTTAGATAATCTATACTAAGAGTGAATATAAAAATCTTAGTATAGATCTTCAGTATAACAGGTAGAAACAAGAACAACTGTAGGCAGCCGGGTGGTCGTGGTGCATGCCTTTAATCCCAGCACTCGGGAGGCAGAGGCAGGCGGATCTCTGTGAGTTCGAGGCTGGCCTGGGCTACCAAATGAGTTCCAGGAAAGGCACAAAGCTACACAGAGAAACCCTGTTTCAAAAAACAAAAACAAAAACAAAAAAACAACTATAGGCAAACTAGCACACATGGCTACTCTGTCTATGCTGAGGGGGCCCACATAGTTTAGTGTACATGCCAGAAGACTGCCTGAGAGTGGTGGGGTCTTTAGCTACACAGGAATCTGGGGCCAAAACTACAAACCTGGACGTCCCTGGGCAAACCAGGACATATGACCTCACCTATCTGTAACTCCTTTTCCTTGTTGGCTATCAGTAGAGAAATCAATTTTTCAACACACACACACACACACACACACACACACACACACACACACACACTGTTTTGTATATTATAGCAGTTCAATAAGTATTTTGCAGGCTCAGTAGAGTCTTAGGCACATTCAGAACTTTCCATTGCATGTCTGTAGATCTCTATCTGCAAGTGTGGCTCCATTAAAAAAAAAAAAAATCTGCGCTGGAATGACGGCTCATAAGTCCAGAGTGCTTCCTGCTCTTGCAGACAGCTAGAGTTTAGTTTCCAGCATCCACATTAGAAGGCTCACAACCAACCCCACCTGTAACTCCAGCTTCAAGGGATCCCAGACCCTCTTAGGGCCTCACTAGGCACCTGAACACACACACACACACACACACACACACACACACACACACACACACACACACAGTGTAAAACAACAAAAATCACCCGACGACAACTGCTTCTTAATGGTTGGGGGCGCGAGACCCATGAGAAATGTGTCCAGAGCCCCCAAATCAATTTGCCTTCTGTCAACTCCACTGGCGGAAAGAGGCAACGGTCAAAAAGTGGCCGGGGTGGTTTCGCAAGAGTCAGGCTGCTTTGTGCTCTAGCAAAACCACAGTTTGGAAGCGGGACAGTTTTCCTGCCAGGTGGACAAGGGATTCACACACACTGCAGCTCCACGCCGCCGGCGGCCGCTGTGTCCAAGTTGAACCCGGGCAAACTGTCTGTGGGCAAGCCTGTGGCGATCCACAGCAACTTTAGCCGGTGACGTTGGCTTAGCCCGCTCTGTGGTTGCCTAAAGTGAAACAGGTAGCGGAGGGAGAAGGAGGCCGCTGGAAGGTAAACAGGAGCAGAGTGTGAGCAAAATAAAAAAGGATGTGTTCGGGGCTAGCCAGGGAGCAACAGCAAAACGCGGGAAAGCGGTTGTGGGCCATCACCAGACGCCTCACAGAACAACGCGTGGCTAATTTGCACGTTAAAGCGCATCCTCAGATCGGGGCAGTTTTAACTCGGAAATGATAAACAAGTAAGCAAAAACCTAGTATCGCCAGAGTAGCCTGGGTCACTAGCGCCCCCTGCTGGTCAAGTGGTAAGAGCGACTCATGTTTTAAATCAAATTCTGTTTTAAATGAAACACTGCAATAGATTAGATGTGGGGGGGCGGGAACTCCTGCACAAGATATTTGAAAAGGAGAAATAATGTAATTATTCACTTTTACAAGCTGAAATTCCACTAAAAAGTAACAGAAGATACTTAGAAAATGAGCTGGGGCGGTGGTGGCGCACACCTTTAATCCCAGCGCTTGGGAGGCAGAGGCAGGAGGATCTCTGCGAGTTTGCCAAGCGAGTTCCAGGAAAGGCGCAAAGCTACACAGAGAAACACTCTCAAAAAAACAAAAAAAAAAAACCAAAACAACAACAACAACAACAACAAAAACCAAAACAAAACAGAAGGCTGGCTGTGTGCTCTTCAAATGTGCATTCACGCACTGGTGGCTTCTCCACCTCAGGGAGCCTGTTAGAAATGAGGTGCTTCAGGACCCATCCCCAGTCCCCCCACCTCCAGACTCTGCATTTCAGTGGGATCCCCAGGGGTTCCCACCGGCGTTCATGTTGGAGAAGCTCATCCTGGGTCTTATAGCTCTGAAAATGGAGGAGTTTTTTAGGTTAGGGAAACATTTCTTTTGAGAACACACGAAACTTCTACATCGAGTTCCGTCAGAGTAAAAGCAATGGTAACAAAAGAAAAAAAATGTAGGGGCCTGGAGAGTGGTTCAGTGGTTAAGAGCACTGACTGTTCTTCCAGAGGACCTGGGTTCAATTCCCAGCACCCATCAGGCAGCTCACAACTGTCTGTAATTCCAGTTCCAGGAGACTCAACACCAATGCACATGAAATAAAAAAAAAAAAAAAAAAGAAAAAAATGTAAAAACCAGTGTACATGGCTGGGTGATTCTTAGCGTGGATCCATGTTGATCTCTACAGGGGCATGGGGTCCCCTCTGTGCTGGGACGTGTTCATGTAGTTTTGCTGGTTGGTTGGGAAAGTGTGTGGGGGCAATGTCCAGAAGATGGCCAGGTGGAGGGCAGTTGGTAAATAGTAGGGTCAGGACACTTAGGACAGAGTGGATGTTTCCCAATCAGGATGTGGTGGACGGAATGCCGAGTACTTCCATGTTTTAACCACCTACTGCTAGGCTCACACACATCAGATTAAAAAAAACCAAAGAGGCCAAAGTCCAACCCTGTTTCCCAAAGTTGCTGATCCCCAGGAATTTCAGTCCAGTGGAAAAGAAATCCGACTTTAAAAGTCTGGGTCGCTTTAGTGTGCCCCTTGCAACCGAGGCGGAGCACGTGACCTACCTTCAGCATCCGTATTTCTCGCAGAGCTATTTTCTTAACAACAGGATCGTCTTCGGATTCCACGAATTTTTTGATAGCTACCACTTGTCCAGACGACTTGTTTCTGCACTTGAAGACAACCCCGTAAGACCCTTCTCCAATCTTAGCCAGTTTTTCATACTTTTCCATTTCAGTGAGAGCGACTTAAGGTAGCGTCGGGATTGACGCACAGCGTCGCACCTAGAAAACAAGAGCGACTCTTACTCATGGGGTTACGCGGGACACAGTGTTCTCACAGTTCGTATATACGGACAGATTGCCCGGGCTGCCGGCGGTTTATTTCCACCCTCTGGTTTTTGCTTTCTTCGTGCAGTAGAAATAAGCGCTCGGGTGCTATTTTGCAAGCACAGCTCTGTATTCATCCAGCTACTGCAAGGTCTGCGGGGTTGGGGGGTTGGGGGGGGATGGTGGGGATGGTGGGGATGGTGGGTGTCATTTCTGATGACGGCTCAGTGCTGACCACAGGTCACAGGAAACAAGCTGAGGGAAGAACCTTTACTCAATCTATTGCTTTTATTATCCTCGAGGAAATGATTAAAATGCAAGGCTGTAAAGCGCCTTGGAAGGAAGGGGAGGGACGTTCATACTCTTGAATTCGGTGTTTGCCTTCCTAACTAACTCACCGGAACCGCACGGCCGGGGGAAGAATTTCGCAACACGGCAGAGAACAAAAGCTCTACACCTCCACCTGGTGGACAGAAGGAAGAAAACCGTGGTCGCCGAACAATGCGGATTTTCTCAGAACACCATTTCCTTAAAAGGTCTGGGTTAAAGGCGAGCGCCACCAGCGGATCTCTGTGAGTTCGAGGCCCGCCTGGTCTAGAGTGCGAGCTCCAGGAAAGGCGCAAAGCTACACAGAGAAACCCTGCCTCGAAAAAAACCAAAACCAAAACCAAAAAGTTTGGGTTATACTTCATTATTAATTACTATTATTGCGTATTATTGTGTGTATGTGATATGAATATGAGATGTGCATGTTTGTGTAGGAAGTGGTCTATGTGGTATGGATGTGAGGGGTGTGTGTGTGTGTGTGTGTGTGTGTGTGTGTGTGTGTCTGTGTGTGTCAGCCAGTCCTCTCCTACCAAGTAGTCCTGAGGTTGTAACCCAGGTTGCCTTTTTAACCTGATCCATCCAGCTGGTTAAGGTGCCATTTCTTGTTCTTAGCTTTTATTTGTATTGGGGTGACTGACCCATTTTTAAATCCCCCCAAGAAAATAATAATAATCATACATCAGAAAGGAGGTACATTTTTCTAATTCTTCCCCAAGGGTTTCATATCCACAGGGATCTCTAAGAAAATACTGGCTCTCATTTTATTATCATTCCCATTGTTTATGCTTATAATTGTGGCTAAACATTCAATGAGAGATAAGGCCAAGATGATTGCATAAATCAGGGTAGGAAATTGATGCTATAAATTTTGAAATTAGCCTAAAAAATTCTACCCCTTTATCCAGCAAAATCTTGTGTGCATAATTTAATGATGGTAACTGTAGGAGGGAGCATTGAGATAGCATCGCCTACTTCCATACAGTCTGTATAAACACTCTAGTATTATTTTATCCAGCTGTGTAGATGAGAAACTGAAGCGTGGTGGAGCTGGTATGGAATCGGAATCAGACTTTCAGGTTCCACAAGGTACAACTGAAACCACAGTACTCCGCCTCTGGCCTATTTTGTAACAGTACACAATTTGAAGAACTGTTTCATTTAGGTCTTGGAAGTAATAATATTAAGTGGAGGAGCTAACCACTGCTAAAATTTCTCATGTTCCAAATAAATATACTTCAGACGATTATTAATATTGTCTTTCAGAGGTTATCTCAATGGAGAAGCTATGGACCCTTACTTGCCACAATAAAAAGACACACTAGGGGGCGCCAGTGTGGCTCAGTTGGTAGACCGCTTGCCTAGCATGGTGGAAGCTCTGGGATTTGATGGCGTGGTAGTGCTTACTTGTAGTCCCAGCACTGGGGAGAGGCAGAGGCGGGATGATCAGAAAGCCCAAGGTCGCCCTTAGCTACATAGTGAGCTCCAGGCAAGTCTGGGATACATGAGATTTTCTCTCAGAAAACACACACACACACACACACACACACACACACACACACACACCAGTAGCCCTTGGGATGCTGAGGTGGGAAGATTATAAATGAAAGGCCAGTATAGACCACACAGTGAGACACTGTCTCAAAAAAGCAGAACAAAATTATATTATGGGAAATAACGTTTAGCTGGGTAAATGATTATTACTCGTATAGTGTTTTTAGAAAAATTTTTGTTAGTTTTTTAAATAGTGGATTCAAATCCCCATTAAAGGAGGAAAATATCAACCCCATTTAAAAAAAAAACAGCAGGGAAAATCCACAGCAGATTAGGCCATGGAAACTTTATTGATTATACTATATTGCTTTACAGAAGTATCATTAACTACATTAAAGTAGCATGCATATCTTTGTCTGGAAAGAGAAGACAGTATAAAACACCCTTGGAAGGTTATTAGTATAGAATTTCATAGATTATTTCACCTAGTTTATAAGCACTACAGCTACTGGGGAACCCTGAGAACATGACGCTAAGTTTATTGTTATTTATTTATTTATTTGGTTTTTCGAGAGACAGGGTTCCTCTGTGTAGCTTTGCGCCTTTCCTGGCTCTCGCTCTGTAGACCAGGCTGGCCTCGAACTCACAGAGATCCTCCTGGCTCTGCCTCCCGAGTGTTGGGATTAAAGGCGTGCGCCACCACCGCCTGGTGACGCTAAGTTTAATAATGAAACTGGGCATTTTGTTGTTGTTTTTGGAGAACCTTGCATATTCAGTATCTTAGGCTGGCCTCAAACTCAGTACATAGCTGAGGATGACACTGAACTTCTAGTTCTGGTTCACCCTCTTAAATGCTGGGATGACTGGTATGCACCATGGCGTCAGTTTTTTAATTGTGCGGCTTCAGTCTAGGCATTATCTTCTTATTAGGTATGTTATTCTGTCTAGTGATTGAATTATTTACATTCCCTTCTTTTGTTCAGAGGGTTTGTGGTTCATTGCTCCAGCTGATCAGATCTCTGTCACATCAACCAAACTTCTGACTGCCATCAAATAAAGCTCCAGCCGGGCGGTGGTGGTGCACACCTTTAATGCCAGCACTCAGGAGGTAGAAGCAGGTGGATCTCCGGGAGTTTCAGGCCAGCTCGGTCTACAGAGCAAGTCCAGGCCAGTCAGGACTACAAAGTGAGATCTG